TGTGTGTGTGTGTGTGTGTGTGTGTGTGTGTGTGTGTGTGTGTGTGTGAATAGCTATATAGCTAATATATTACATTTATGTCAGTAAATCCCTTAAAATTATTACATACTGCACCTTTAAATTAGGAGTTGAATGATACGATAAAGTTTGGCAGAAAGTTGTCTGATACTCAACCGAGGTATGGTAGAAATTATTTTAACCTGTTGAAAAAGATGGATCCAGACTCCATTAGAAAATATATCATATATATATATATATATATACACCTCAGGTCTTACTGAGATAAATAAATTTAAAAACATATTAAGTAAAACCTGCAGGTAATCAGTCCAGTTTATTAAAGTTTTTCTTTGAAAAAAATGATTCATATATATTTTTTTCATGACATGTACCCGTTCGAAGTGTAACCGCCTATGTTTTCCGGGTAGATCCGCCGATGTCATATTTGAATGGGTCTATGGTTGGTCGGACTGACGGTTAGAGGAAGCTTGTCCGCCCGGTAGTGAGCGGAGGAGGGGGACTAGGCAGCCACCGAGCCGCTGAAATATCTCCACCAACAGCCACCAGAAGCGCACATCTCTCATACGCTTCGCTTGGAGTCACATAAAGGTGGGTAAAACACGCGTCTGTGTTAGGTATTTTATACAGAACAGCCGAGCGCTGGATGTTTTGCTGCTTGTGTACAAAGGCTTTCTTCTCCGGAGAAAATGCCGGGGCTGCAGCGCCCTGCAGGCCCGCTACTGTCTTTCAAGTCTCCGACTCTATTCCTCCGCTCTATCACACTATCTTCGCCTTCCTTTTTTTAATAATCACCTAAACCTTTTACTACAAAGCATTACCGACCTCTGTGTTCGACCAGAAGCGTTGTTAAAAAGGAAAGTGAGGGTTTTGACATCCGTGGCCGGTGCGAGGAAACATGGTTGCTCTGCGGAGTCTCCTGCGGAGGCACGCCGGGCATCGAAGCGCTCTGCGCCGCTAGAGGGTTAGAGGGCCAGCCGGTACTGCGCGGTAGCGCTCCAGGAAGGGATTGGGAGGTGGACATGTTTGACTACGCATTAAAATAACGCTGCAAGCGGATGTTTGGATGATTAGGGAAACTTTCTTTATTATAAAGAAGAGAAAGTTCGTATACTATGATGAGTTATTTATTTTTTACTCTATAAAATGCGTTTTTTCCTACTTCGGTCGCCCTCGCAGACCAGCTGTGGTTTCGTGTCGCTGTTTCCACGCTACACTGGTTTGCTTTCAGCAGGTTGAGGTAATGAGAGAGCCTCTGTTTATTGCTTCTTGGTATCAGAAAAGTTACCTGGGATTCCCATGGCTTTTATAAGAGGGGGGCTTTACAATCAGGCTGGGGGGCATTTTTAACATTTTTTATTTATTTATTTATTTTTTATGCAGCGTCTTCTCTATGGTGCAGATATCTGTAAACACGATCCTTTTCAACTTAAAGAAGGAATACCCGATTAAACTCTTGGGACCAGGGGCGGAGCTATATGGGGGCCAGGGGTGGCCATGGCCACCCTTAGCCAATCATTGGCCACCCCTACCATTTATTTCTCTCTAATACAGATGGTGCAACCCTAATACTCTCAAGTGGAATATTCAAAACATTTACATTTTTCATTTATTAACACTCCCAGAATTTTGATCCTACTAGAACTCCCACTGGCCGTCAATTTGACGGGTGACATTTTTTCCCAATGGAACGTATAAATAGTAATGATGTCATCAACTGAGATAGTTCTAGTGTGCGATATAAACCCATTGTGGATATGTAAACCTTAAAACGGGTCTAATATATATTTTTCACAGGCTGTGTTGTATGCTATTATTATTTGTGTTCTAAATTTATATTCAAAATATATCCGTAGAGTCAGACTGTTTCACTACACAGGTTCAAAGTTTGAAATTACAATTTTATTTACAGAAATTGATTGATTCCCCCCAAACATTTCCCGCAGACCACCGTTTCACATTTATGACAAATTATAATTCATTAGATGTGATTATTGTGGCATTTAAAATGCTTTCTTAAAAAAAAAGTGTATAAAAACGATTTAATCAGATATATCGCAATATATTTGCGCGGAACTGCTTCCGGTTGATCGTAAATGCGTATGTTTGGAAAAGAAGCTTGAGGAGGAGAAAAAAGCTACTATTGGGATATGCTAATTTCAACAAAAGTGGCTGGAAAATGAGGAATTCAGGACATGGCTGCAGCCTGTCGACTGTAAAGATGACAAAGGATTTTGCCCTGTATATTTGAGAGTCATGGGTACTTGATGGCATTAGAATTATTTCTAGGAGCATTAAAAAGCATTACATTTGAGTTACTCATTCCTGTATAAACCCTGTATAAGAATAACATAGTGAAGAGTTAAAAAATAAATAAAATACTGTACTGTAAAATGTTTTAACAGTATAAATACTTGTGTAAATATTTGAAAATGGCAGCAACATCAGAGATGTACAATGACAATGCCATTTAACTGACTAATATAGCAAATGTGCAAAATTAGCATGATTGTAACAACGTATTCAGGTTGTTAAGAACAGTGGTGGTTATAGAGTCTTAAAGCTGCTGGGAGGAAGGATCTGTGATAACGCTCTCTGGTGCATTTTGGGTACAGCAGTCTGTCACTGAAGGAGCTCTCCTTTGAATGAGCAAACTATTCACAGTTAAAGTTATCTGTTTTTTTTTATGCTGCTTTTATGTTGATTTTTAGGCTGAAATTTAAGACTTCATGGAACCAAATTTAACCAGGGTTACAATAGACTTTGGTAGAGATAAAGACCAAAAGGATGATGGGACATCTGTTTTTTTTCCAAGTATGAAACTTTAAGTTATTCTTGTGATGACAAATTATTTATCCTAAAACACCACATGGAAAACCATTTTGTGTGTATATGATATCTAATAAAAATGTTTGTTGGTGATGTCCAAGATGACGCTGTTTGGTGCAGTTCTCCAAAATAGAACTTCACTTCTCTCCATATCTTCCCCATTGTGCTTATTTCTGCAATGAGTTTCAGACTTCGTCCAGCATACTGGTCCGTGGGTAAAAGAAATTAGCTTAGATGGATTATTACACCCTAACCGAACAGAACACCTAAGATTACAAACATGGTTAATTGCATGTCTAAAATAATGCCATTTGTCATATCAAGGTAGTTTTAAGCTCATAGTGTAGAATATTTAACCATAGTCTTCAATGGGAATCAAACGAACATGAATAATTTCCTTTTGGACTTTTTTTTTTTTTTTTTTTTTTTTATTAAAGTGAAATTTAGATCGACTTTCAAGTATAAGGAGGAATAAAATTAACACTGTGCTTACTTTTAGAGATTTACTTTGTCCACTTTATCAAGCTACTAAAAATGAAAAATCCATTAGAAAACCTTCTATTTTTTTATTTTTTTTGTTTTTTTGTATACCTGAAGCTTTGGTCTGGTTTGGGTCAATATGAAAGCACAATTAGACCCTAACGCGCACCAAACTAGTGCAGTCTTAAGTGGTCGCCCCCAGTCGAACTCTAGTGCGCACTAGTTGATGTCTGAAAACAACCTTACTCTGGTATGTTAATATTACAGTTAGAGCTGAAACAATCAGATTAATCCAAATTTTATTGATTATTTAAATAATCGTCAGCTTATTTAGTAGTCAATTAATCTTTACCTGGAGTATAGAGACAAACGGGACTAACAAAGCTAGAGGCATGTTTAATTCCCGTTGAAGACTATGGTTAAATATTCTACACAATGAGCCAATTAGAGCAGCAATTATTAAAAAAAAAAATGTAAACAATTTAATATTAAAAAAACAAACTCTTTTTTTTGTCTGTCAGTATGCTTTATCCAAAACTCCTCAAGTGGAAAATTTTTAGTTTCACCTGGTTTCATTTCATAAAAATAACTGGCAGATGAATAGATTTGCAAAATAATCGTTAGTTCCAACCCTATTGGAGTACATACAAGACAATAAGCAGTCTACAGCATAATTGAAGCTAGTGTTTTAACAATATACAAGTGATGTGAAACAGAGAAGTTATTTTGCCAGACGTTATCCCTAACTTGTCTGACTGGTCTCCAAACCAAAAGGTGCCATGAAAACAAAGGTGAGGAGTAACAATGGGAAATTAACTGAGCCTGTAGGGAAAGTACAGCGTTTAAACACTACAGCCCAGATCTGGGCCAGGGTGTGTTCTCTCAGTTTGTTTTTATAGCCAAAGTATGTTTTTCTTTGTATGACATATGATACATTTCAACTTAATCATCTCTTAGTTGACAGGGAGTTTTTCCCAAAACAAGTCTGATAGTCTGATATGATTGTATAAAAAGCCTCAGGATAAATTGACACTATGGAGTCCTGATCTCGTCTTAACAATAAAGTTATGTTTCTGGTTCAGCCCCTTTGTCACAGTTAAAGTTATTTAAAACTTTTTATTTGTTTCCATACTGCAAACACATATAGGTGACCAGCTGTTTCCTGCCATAACTCATAAAGATCAGCATTGTTGCCATATTCCCTACAGGGATGTGCATTGCAAATTAGCTGAGGTTATAAATATTGGTGTTCAGTATTTGTTCATACTTAAGTAACAGTTGTTCCTATGGGAAAAAAAGCTGCAGAACAATAAATAAAGGAGCATAAATAGGCCTTCACTGAATTGCATGTTTTCTTGTATTTTTCCATTTTGAAGGGAAGCTAAGAAAATTTGTACACAAAAGTTAGTAAAATTATTAAGATATGGGAGGGGAAACATTTTTCTTTAGGACTGCAGTGTGTCTTCACAAATAACAACATTTATATAACAACATGTGAGATTTATAAAACTTTTAAACAAAAAATGAATACCTTTTTAGTATTTTTTTTTTTTTCTGTACCCTTTTAGTGCTTTCAAACATAAAGCGCTCTGGGTATCGGAGCCAGGGCCTGCAGTCAACTTTTTTGGCCACCAGCCACTGTGGCAAGTAGATTTCACACTTCACCTGCCATAGTAGTTTATTTTTTATTTTTTATACCATCCCAATTTTTTTTACTGGCTAAAATAAAGGTGAACAACTTAGAAAATGCTTTAGAATGGTTCTTGAACTTGTACAGGTCTTCCGCTCTTAACAAGAACAGAAAATTTAAATTGGGATCATTATCCTGATGAGCAGACTGCACCTACGTTTAGAGGTTAACTTTCTTACTTAAAAACATTTTAAAACAATGTTTTCCTATTAATAAAAGCAAATAAAGCCAACATTCTCTCCAGATTGCAATGACGGAACAGAGCAGCTTACCAACCAGAGCATCAAGCATCTAAAGCGCCTGACCTCAAAATGAGTGTCCAAGTTGAGGCGCTGGAGCCTTTTTTGAAGCTGAAAACACTCTTGCTGCATTATAAGCGCTGAAAAAGCTCTATGTATTGGATCGTCCAGACTGGACAGGACTGGGATTTTCAACAGTTCTTTAAAGCGGCACGCATACATTTTATGCACAAGTGGCAATAGACTTGAAACCTTTCAAGTTAACGCCCCCTGACAGCAAGTGGATGCACTGCACTGTCGCAAAATTATTATTATTTATTAGATATCTAATTTTTATAGACTAAACATTACATATCTTATCGACACCTGACTGGGATGACAGAGTTCAGTATGAATTTTTAGATATTTTGAATCATGTATTTGAAAGCTCAGGTTGAACAATAAAAATGTAGTCCAAAATGCAATGTTGACTTCAAAATGTATCAAATTTCAATTGCCTCACACAGTTTCTGCTTTTGTCTTCCTTCCAGATTGAACCATGTAACTTGTCGGAGGCTTTTCCCCTCTGATGCTCAAGGAACACTCCATACTCCTCTAGAATGTATTTGATGAATGTACCTCCTGTCGCAGCGACGGAAACAGAATGGCGAAGATGTTGCCCACCTGGGGGCTATAGCCTTCCGGTTTGCTTCAATGACTCTGATGCAGAATTGTCCACTAGAGGCACAGCAATCTCAGATAAGGTCCAGATGATCATAGAGAGCCTCAGGAGCAGCCAGTCCTCACTCGAAATGGGCGATGAGATTGAGGCAAATATGCCATCAGGACAGGAACGCCATACCCAAGTGTGCAAGGCTGGAGTGGGTAACTATGTGGGAGTCAAGTCAAAGAGGAAAAAACCCACTGAAAACCCACACGCCCGTTTTTCTCTTAAAAACAACCATGACAGTAGTGACTCCGACAGTGACGATTCGGTTGATAGAGGAATTGAGGAAGCAATACTGGAATACCTGAAAGAAAAAGATGGTCACAAACGCAAGGCTGAACCATCTTCCTCTTTTCTGAAGTCCTCCAAAATGCCAAGGAAAAACCCACCAACCTTGGAGTGTGCCAGACAGCGATCTGAAGACGACTCTTCCTTGAGATCCAATAGCCAGCCTCCAATAAGTGTCAAAACAGAAAGCCCGATCACAACAGCTACTGTACCACTAAAAAAGTATATTAAAAACAAAGCCTCCCAGGACGAAAACTTTGATTTGAGTAAATTTTCAACTGATAATTCACTGGGTTCCAAAGAGCAACAGAAGAGCCCCTCTGAAACTATTCGGATCTGTAACAAAACTACCCAACACCCAGTAATACCAAAGATAGAGGAGCACTTGAGTGATTCCAGTAGTGATGATGGCATCGAAGAGGCTATTCAAAGATACCAGTTAGAGCAAAAGGGGTTGCAGAATAAGAGGGAATATCTGAATCCGCAAACATTCCAAGAAGATTCTGACTCTACAAGTGACGATGGCATTGAAGAAGCTATTCGTAGCTACCAGCTTGAGCAACAGAAGGAGAATAGTTTCCAGAAGCAACTCCTCTACAAGCCTAAAGCCCCCATCAAGTTATCAGTACCTCCTGCTGAAAGTAAAAACTCTGAAATGAGAACAAACAAACTAAAAAGAAAAAAAGGGAAACTGACTCAAACTCCATCTGTATCAAAACCTAAGACTTCACTATCAAACAGCGCCAAGGGAAAGGGAAACGGACTACTCTCACTGAAAGAGACTTTCAAAGAGCAGTCGTCTCCAACTCCTTCCAAAGTTAAAACCTCTGCAGAACTGATGTGTGCGGAAGCAATACTGGATATCTCCAAAACTGTAATGCCTGGAGCCTTCCATCAGGGCATTGGTCTCAATACGTTTGCTCTGGCTGGACCTTCCTCTCTTCCTGATAGAAACCTCCATGAAGAAAGCAATGATAGTTCTGTCGATAGTGAAGATGGGATTGAACAAGAAATCCGAAAATTTCTTGAGCAGAAGGCCCTAATGCATAAACAACCAGCCACTGCTCAGCAGCCATGTGATGTACTTCACCCAGAGAAGGGGAAAGGTGGAGACGCTGCTGTTCAACAGAAGCCACAAAAATTGTCTTTAACACAGAGAAGAAAGCAAATGGAGAAAAGTGTAACTCTGACGAACATATCAGAAACTGCTGACAAAATTAAAGAAACTGCTGAGCATACAAAAGAATCAAAAGCCTCAACCCTTCCAATGGGAAGCCAATCCCAACCAAGCACAGCATTACAAAGGACAGACCAAAGCGGAGACAAAAGCAGTTCATTTGACAGTGACGAAGACCTCGACACTGCGATCAAAGACCTGCTAAAGACAAAAAAGAAATCGAAAAAAAAGATCAAAGACCTGAAAAAGAAGCCCAAGAAAAGCATTAAAGATGCAGAGCCATTGTCGGGGAATGCTTTCCCCAACAAAAAGCTCCAACACAAGCCTGGGTCCAAGTGTAGTGCTTTGAAAAAAGTGCAAAGGAGTGATGCTGACGTAAAAGATAAGCTTGGATTCAGTAAAAATATCTTGCATCAAAAGCAAATGGATAAAAGTGAGACAGCAGACTCTCTCAGAGGGGAAGAACTAGACACCAAGCCACTGCAGATTGTTGACCCCCATCTTGAAATTGACGATGACAGCAGCTCAGTAGACAGTAATGACAGCATTGAGCTAGAGATAAGAAGGTTTCTGGCTGAGAAGGCCAAAGTTTCCTCTGGAGACAAAAGCGATGATGTAGCTATGTCTAAGAATGGTTCCTATGTGGTTCAAGACACAGATGTTCAGCTTCCTGTCGTTGACGTTAAACAGGAAACTCAGCTGGCTGAGATTCCTCTAAAACCTAATAGTCCGCTGTCTGTACCTCAAGTAAGGACCCCACAGAGGATTGATCCTGAGATAACATCGAACAGCCCAGAGTCATGCGCAACATCTATTCAGTCCTGCAGTCCCAGTCTTTTGGAGCCAGCCGATGGTGCAGGAGCAACTAGGAACCAGCAAATGAGGACCAATGCTGCCAGTGATGCTCCAGTAAACGGGACTCAACATGTGGAAAGAGTTCACCCAGCTTTGAGTCAAGACCGGGCTCGTTCCCTTGCAGAGTCAATTAAATGGCGCCAGAGCCTGGGGCTTCCCGTTCCTGACCCAAAGACCCTAAGCTGGACTTCCTTTCATATCACCTCTTTGGAAAGACTCTCTTCCTCAGAAAATCGGGACTTAAAATCACAGACTCCCACCTCTGCTTGGTGCACTCCAAGGACCAGCAGAGCTCCTTTTTCCAACTCGACAGATGTAGGTGGGAATACCCCAGTCAGACCCCCCGTTCTAAAGTTTTCCCCTGCTGCCAGGCAGCACTCAAAGATGACCTTTACACAGAGCCTTACGCCTGGAAACAGGTCCCAGTTCTCCTTGGAAGAAGGCCGGGCGAGTACTGTTCACGTTCCTAAGGACAAGAGTGTGTTTGTAGAGCTGGAGACTAACAGGACCAACCATGTCCAGGTTCAAAGCAGGGAAAGGAGTGAGGGAAAGAAGGCAGACTCTCTTAATGAGAGAAAAAGAGAAGGCAAGAGCAAGAAGATGTATGATGAAGGAGCTCATCAAGACAGAGAGGATGAAGAGTTTATAGATGAGTCAGATTGTGAATCAGGCAGCAAGAGAGATCCAGATAAGAAGCAGGGCTTTCCAGCATTGTAAGTATTTGCTTTGATCACTAACCCTCAACATCATCATAGTTCTATATGTTTACTTCCTAATGTTGCCCTGCTAATTAATACCACATCGCTTAAACTCATGTACAAACTCTAAGGGAATACTTGTTGGTATAATAAAACAAAACATGCTCTTTTTGTATAGTTAATGTGTAACACCGTGGCAACAATACATTTTGCGCTCTTTTTCTTATTTCATATCCTCAATTGTGAAAAGCAATACAGTGGGGTTTTGGTACAGTAAGAGGTAGGAACACCAGGAGAATGTGTATTACCTAAAGAAATAAAACACCTTTTTCTTTTAGAAGCAATGGAGAAATATAGCAATGTCACTGCGGCAAAATAAAGATTTAAGGGAAAGAAAATGGTCAGAATTTGTTACTTCTTTTTATAGAACCACTCGGAAATCCAGGGTAACGTCTTGATGATTAAAAAAACTACAAAAAAGTTTCACATAATCTCTCTGGAGATGCCTATGAAAAACTTCAGTTTCTAAAGTCATAATAGAATTTCATATAAGATTAATTTTTCCATTCATTTGGCTTTAAACTGATTTTTATGTTAAACGATGTTGGTTTAAAAAAAAGAGACTAGTAAGGAAGAATGTATTAAATGATTATTGAATGATTTGAAAAGGAAAACCTTGACTGTCCTCCCCACCAAACCTCTTCAAGTGTTAAGCACTAGATACCAACTGTTTCTGCTTCCACCACACAATGTTACCCCCTAACCAAGCAGAGTTGGCATAAAAAAACATTGTTAAAGTTGAAGGAATACGCACTTACCTTTCTGCTGCTTTATATGACATTAAACCAGTGGCACAGTAGAATCTTTTGGAGCATTCCTCTGCATTGTTTTAATGTCTAAATGATGTGGAAACCTCCTTATAGAGGTTACCTAATCCATGACCACAACAACTTTGCAAAACTTTCTTCCTTTTGACTTGCAACTCAGACTGAAATAAATGAGGGAATAATTCTAGGATCTCCTACCCAAAACAAACTAAAAGACACCGTAAGATGAGAAAAGTCATTTTAGCAATGCAAATGCATTGTCTAATCTTTCCACATTTGATTATACACTGTCACTTTATTAAATTGGACATTGTAGCATTTAAAGTTACGCTCAGTTATATTAAATCCATCATCAAAGTTTCAGACTCCGGTCATTTCAACTGATGGGTCTTTTTTTTTATATCCCCACACTATATTAACTGATTGGCTTAATATGACTCTCATCACTTTTTCCCAAATTGGTGTTATTTGTCTGTAAACCACAATTTGATTATTTTCTTTTTAAAGTGAGCAACTCATCTATTTGCAAGGATTTCTGGAGTTAAAGTCTCTGCCTTCTGATATTAAACATAAACTTGGAATATAACACAGGGAATGTCAAACATTTACTAGAAAATACCTTTTTGTGATACTGGTTGTCACCAGATGTTAAATCGAACTTGGTTTACATGTTTGTTGTTTTTAAGTTAGATCCATCTCCAGAAACTGCCAACATTTAGCACAGCAACTTCTTTGGTGGAAAAATTCCTATTTTTTCTTTTTTTTTTTGCACTGGACTTAAATAGATTTATTAATGAGCTCAATAATACAACTCAGAGAATTCTTTACTGATTTATAAATGTTATTTGTTGTGATTAAATCAATTTGCCTGTTTGAATAAAAGTGTTTCTACACTGAAGGTCCCAGCAGTAAGACTTTAGTTCACTGATATGGCATTGAGGTAAATCTAAGGCTTTTTTTGTCATTGAACTTCTTGTTAAGAAACATCTTTGTATTTCTAATATGTGATTATTTTACTTTTTTTTTGTCTGCAAGTGGTTTACTCAGTACCACATAAAATTTCACATTAAGTCTTGTTACTTCTGATTTTTTTTTTTCCAGTTTTTGATTCTTTGATATTCCAAAACCTTTTTGAGGAAAGCAGTTAATCATGCATTAGAATAATAATAAAAATATCAGTGTTTTTGTTTTGTTTTTTTAGTTTCATTGTTAATTGGTCTTATTTTGGACAGAAAAGCAAGAATTATGTGAAAAATATTGGAGCTTTGTCTATCTTACTTCCTGAATGGTTGAGGTCTTGAAACAATCAGATTGTTGTTTGTATGCTTCAAAGTCGGCTGCTGCTGAACACCAACAGTCTCAGACTCTAAACCTCTATGATGAAGATTGTTCCGGATTCCACAGAAATCTCACCGTCGCCCTGTTGTCTTACTGAATGTGATTCTCTGTGTGTTCATTTCTTTATCATATCAAAGATTTTCTTTGGAATGATAAAATGCTATTTATTTTTGTTTATGACAAAAAGAAATCATTTGCTGAACATGCTGTGCATTTCCAGGCCTTTTTTTGTTTCTGTAAATATTTTTTTTTTTTTTTACTTTTTTCTTTCGTTCTTCAGGATATAAATACAGTTTTGCTGTGTCATTTAAGTGTGAAATAAAAAAAATCATGATGGAACATCAGTGGCTCTCGTTGCAATTCATTTAGATGAATATTTTTGGTGAGAAAATGTTAATTTTCAGTTGCTTGAAATCGAGGAGAAGCTTGTTTTCTAATGGACATTCTGCTCTGCATCACTCAGGTCTTTGTCCACTGCCATAGATCCAGGAATCACTTTCAGCCCATGCATAGCTCTTTCCACAGAGAAGAGGTGCATGATTTTCAGCAGGAAATACTTAGTTAGAAAACGCATAAAGGTACAAATTTGCAACAAAAAAAGCACAAATCTTGGGTGTTGTCCAAACCCATAGATTAAGAAGAGTGTTTGTTGTCATGTTTTCAGGAGAATCCATCCAATCTGAGTGCTTTTAGGCAAACAGGGACCCTGCAGCATGTCAGAAGAAAGCTTCAGTTTGTTCCGACTGATGTGTAAGTTTGCCAGGAACAATTTGTAAAAAATTATACTCATTAAAATATTCTGAATGCATCTTTTTTTTTTCTTTTTTTCCAGGAGAAGGAAGGCAGTTGACAGAATTTAACAGCATGTTTTGTTTTCCTTCTTTTTGTTTTATTCCAAGTTAACAGTTCTTGTTAGTTCAAAATAATAGAAATTAGAAAATAGTTTTCTAATTTCATGTTTTTGTTTTTATGGCTAACAAATGAGGTTTAAAAGCAATTTTGGAGTATTAAGTAAGGAAGTTCAATTTTCTGCAGTAAAAAAAAAACATTTAAATTGATAATTTAGAAGTTCAAGTTTACTTGTTTGTGGCATATTGTGTTGTTTTTTTGCCTGTTACCAGTGTTCTATTTGTAAATTTTTCTGTGTAATGCTTGATTTCTATTTCATATTTTAAACCATAAGAAAGCGTTCTAGCCATATGGGGTTTAAAAATATGTATGGATATTTTTTTTTAGTCACACATTGAGTTTTATTTCATTTATTGAAGCTTGTCATGACTGGCATACTTTTTTTTTTTTTTTTTACACATTTTCATTTCTAATGTTGCTTTTTTTTTAATCCACTGGCTTTACTTTACTAAATAACGAAGGCATAATTGGTGTTATTTCTTATTATTCATGTGGGGTTGTTTGTGCCACGCAGATTTGAGACGTTTTAAGTGTGGAACTATGGAAGTTGTAGTTTTTACATGTTTTGCTGCGACATTATGTTCTTCTTTACGGCGCTAAACCGCGCATGCGCAGTTTGATGACCTTCTTTGAGCAGCATGGCCGCTCGGGCGTTTACAAAAGGTTTGTAATAAAAAGAAACCTGTGAAAAATAAGTTCATTAAAACATTTTGTCCTAATTTGGATTTATTGTCCTATATTTTAAGTTTTGGTCATATTCCGTAGTCGTTGTCGAGCAGGAAACGGGCTATTTTAGCGTTATAGTGCTTTTTTCCTCTGTTTTATGTCAAATATTCGGCATCTGTTTTTGGCTTCACGTTCAGGTTTGTTGGGGTTTCGGCATGTTGGAGCTGCCAAGGTTAAATTCTCCATCAATGGACAGCACTTTGCCACTGCATCCTCCATTAAATCACCTGAAATTCAAATTCAGTCATTCACAGGTGAGTTGCTGTCTGCTAAGATTTGCTCTTTTTATGGGTCGTCTTCTGTTCAAACTGTCCCTAAATCAGTTTTCCTGTTTTCAGAGAAAGTCCCTAATCCGCCACTTGAGAAACATGACCACTTCCGTTTGTCGGAGCTTTTCACCTTAAAGGACTTGTTTGATGCGAGGGTGCATCTTGGACACAAGAAAGGCTGCAGGCACAGGTCTGTATCCTTAGGATCTACTCATGAGCTGGAAAAGGTGCAGCCATTGATGCTCTGCACCAAATGGTGCTTTGTGATTAAATTAACAAATATATATGTTGGAGCAATAAACCTAAGAATATATGCTATTGCAATTAGATTGTATTTAAATGGAAAATGCAAGACTTTCACAAGATGTAGAAAAATACACAGTGGTGTCAAAAGTTCACACATTTGTTACTTAAGTAGAAGTATAGATACTGCAGTTTAAAAACACTTTAGTAAAAGTTGAAGTATCAACTTGACCTCTTTACTCAAGTAAAAGTGAAAAAGTATGTGCTCCAAAAACTACTTAAAGTATAAAGTAACCTTTTAAAAAAACAGCCAGATGCCACTATATTAATTTTAAAGCCCATTTTTTTGACTATTTTGAAAAATTCTTAAAGATAGGGCCAAGGTTGAGGGAGGTCTTGTTGGTCTCCGTCTCCATCTCCCGATACGTTCTCGCCTGTGTCCCACCTTTTAGACATTTCAACATCTTTTTCTGAATCCAACATTGCAGCATGGCATAGACAATTCATGTTTGCAGTTTCAAGAACACCTGCCTGCTTCTTATGATTTCCTTTAGCTAACCAATGAGTGTTTGCGTTATATGACTCATCCAATTCCACTAGTTTTCACTAGATGTGGATGGCGCCAATGATCTGCATTGGATGGTGCACATGACGTGAAATAAATATTTATAACATTGAACCGAAGCCAAGAGTAACGGGTAATGTTTTTAAAATGTAAGGAATAGAAAGTACAGATACTTGTGGGAAAATGTAATGAGTAGAAGTCAAAAGTAGGAAGAAAAATAAGTAATGGAGTAAAGTATAAATGCCTAAAAAGTTAAGTACAGTAACAATGTATTTGTACTTCGTTACTTGACATCTATGGAAATACAATTATGTAAACAAAGGCATAAAGAAAAACTGCAACGGGTTGAAATAAACCATACTATTATGCTTTTTATTGCATTCACAATAATAATAATTGAACTTAATTGATCTCACATTGGTGAAATTTACCTCTGCATTTAACCCATCCCTTGGGGAGCAGTGGGCTGTCGTTGTGCGGAGCCTGGGGAGCAGTGTGGGGTTATGGCTGCAGAGTGCAGACTGGGGGGATCTAACCAGATACTTGCAACTTACATTCCACACGCTTTCCTGTGCAGCTATGGTATTGATTGACTTTATTGATATCACAGTGGAGAAATGTACTTGTTACATCACCTCAGTTAGTCAAAAGAGAAGTAGTTGCCAAAAGAAGTAAAAGGTGCATTGGATATATACAGTATTTACAGTGCGTCCACATAAGACAGTTTTTTTTTTTTCTTATATCAGAAATAGATATTCAGTCAAACTAATATATATTAAAACGACTCGCCATAGTTTGTTGTTACCACAATAACCTTACGGGGAAAACTAGTTTACTGCTTGAATGGTAGTGGATGAATGTATCTATTCAGGGGCAATTGCCTGGCAACAGGAGAGGATAAAATATAAAAGCGTTGTTTAAACAGGTAGGACCTGTGTTTCATCTCATAGGGATTAATCCTCATGTTGATTCTGTCTTCAATCACACACGAAATACTTACCCTGAAATCCCACATAGTCCGTCAGCGCTCCGCTCCGCCCCGCTGCGCTCCAGACCGCCTGCGCAAAGCAAAGCCTACAGCCGCCGCTGTGGCTTCGTCCCCTCAGCTCTGAGTTCCTTGGAGATCGTAGAGGGCATGCGCGAGATGAACCAGGGTTTCCGCGGATCATTAAAAATAATTACAATTCATT